GGCTGGAGAGTACAGTTTCTCTTCTCCTCAGGATCTCTTAGCTGGGGCATCATCAGTCAGGCCAGAAGTCATATCACGCGGGTGGAGCTGTGACCCAACACCCGTGTGCTGAACATTGCTCATGTTGATGCACGGAATCCTCCCAGCAACTGTGTGAGGCATGGGCTACGAGGGTGCCCATTGTATAGGCGGACAAACTGAGACTCCTGGAGGTTAAGTACTTTGACTGTAGCAGGAAGAAAAGGCCATAGCAAGCATTCCAACTCGGGTCTGCCTGACTCCAGGACATCACAGGTAACCGCAGCTCTGAAGAGCCAGGCATCCCTAACCTCAGTCCACGGTCCCCTAAGAAATCCAGGCATGGTTTTTGGAGGCCTGGGCCCCCCTTGAAATTGGATTTGCAAATTTCACTGTTGACGTGCATTGCTTTTAACATGCGTCTGCAGCTATCGGTAGAGGGGCTATCAGAAGGCCACCTGGCACCCGCATAAGGAACTACGCGTTGACGGGAGAGGTACCAGAACCGGAGCGTGGGTGAGAAAAGCAGTTCAGAGTGACAGCATCAGAACTGTCCAAGTGGGTGAAGAGTTCGGATGTCACCACCATACGCAGAGTTCCTCTGGTTCCTAAAATCTGCTCTTTACCCCTTTCCGTGTACTGTGGGTAAAACTGAATACGCACTGGAGCCATTTGTGCTGTAAATGTTACAGGAATCAAGCAGCAAAGCCGTGAGGCCCAGCATTCCTCAAGCCTGGAAGGATAGGAATTGCCCGCTTGCCCCGGATCAAAGGGAGGAGACAAGCCCTTCATCACCACACCATGCAGGGCAGGAAGATGTCAAGGGGAGGCTTTCTTTGAAGTGTCAAGATAAGAACGGTCTCCACCTCCCTTTAGTGTGAAAGTCTTTGCTCCTCTTGGAGCCAGAGGAGGGGGAGGCATCGGGTGTCTGTCTGAGAGCTGGAAAACTTATCGACCAGGCAGATACCTCCATGGCTCCAGACATGTCTGGACCCAGCCAAGGGTCTCTCTGGACATCGGGCCTCACGGTGTATGCAACGCCAACCTCCTTTACCATCTTCCCAGGGCTGCATCCTCTCCGGCTGTGTGTGCCCTGGCCTTCAAGTGGACAGAGTGCAGCGGGCTGGGCACACCTTCTGCCCCCTGGCCGGGCGAGTTTGGGCAACTTGCTTCAGTTCTCTGCACCTCAGCTCCAATACATGGTATAGTAATACCTATGTCTGAGGCTCCTTTGAAAGTTAAACGCGAATATGCAAACCAAGCATTTGCGCATCACAGGGTCCAGTTTTAAGTACCTTGAGTTAAAAGATGAGATCTCACTTATCTCCTTCTCCAACATACAAAGGATGATGAAAAGTTACACTGAGTGTTTCCACTTTTTAAAAATTTACTTCAGTGAAAGATAACCTTGTCATTCTTCCCCTTCAGAATACTCCCGCATACTTTCAGCACACGTATCACATCGTTCTTGTCATTTTTCTGAAGCTCCTCTTGAAATCCTCTCTTAGTGTCTTTACAAGGTGTGATCAAAACAAAGGTGCCAGAAGAAAGACAGGTTCGTAAAACCTTGACAGGGTGTCCTCATCCACCTCCGGACCAGAGCTGGCACCAAGCGACAGTTGGCTCCTCCCCCAAGTCAACATGACCTTGACAAGGACATCACTATTACTTGATATATTAACAATTGCTATTTACCATTTATTAATAGGATTAAATAATATATTACCAGTTAAAACAGTGCTTGACCCATACTAAGTGCTCCAATTTGTGCAGCCTTGATACCTGCAAACTAATTAACTACCAAAAAATTAACAAATTAAGCATTTGTTAAATGGAATTTATTGAGAAACTGAAGTATATCTAGCATTGGGTAGTAGGATTTAGAAACATCCTGGTAGTAGGATTTAGAAACATCCTTCGACCTTGCCCTTAACATGCTTAAATTTTAATTAAAGAAATAATATATCTTCATCCAGCTGGAAAATATGAAGGTTGGATTAAGCTAGGCAAGTCATCTAGGGATAGATGTTTCATTTCTCTCTGCCAGGGATGGAATCCAGGGCCTTGCACATACGAGGCAAGCGCTGTACCACTGAGTCACACCCCCAGCCCCCTGGGATGGCTTTGATGAGGCAAGTTTTGGCTTCTAACAGGGATCTGTTTCTCTGTCTGCAGCACTCTTGCGGCCCTTCCACTGTCGGCCTGCTTGAGTTGTTTGTTTTAATCCTTTAAATTCCAGCCTAAATTCCACTTCGTCCCTGATGCTGACAAGGTGAAGCCCCTCTGCCTTATGCCCTACCTCGTTTGCTTCCTTTATCATGGATTTAGTGTCTGTCTTCAACTTTCTCAAGCCCCATGAGGCTAGACTGAAAATCTGCCCTTCTTTTCTATATCCCTAACATCTAATGCAGTGCCTGGCATGTCCAAGTGTTCAGGCAGTGTTTGTGAACAGGCAAATCAAAGAACAAGTTTCTGGGTGTAGATTTCCCTTGTGGGAAGGTGTGATTAATTTCCCCAGGTCTGTCCCAAGGGTAAATGTCACCTCCACATTGCAAAGTTGGCACCAGTGAGTTCTGACACTTTTAGATCTTGCAGGATACTCTGAGGTCTCTGGTCCAGGCCCACCTGTCTTTAGGATGAAGAAACTTAGCCTATAGAGGTGAAGTCAACCATCCCATTTTCCTTCCTGGGCAGAACTGGGTCTACAACTCCCAGGACCCTTTATAAGAACAAAGGATCTGGCATAGAACAACTAGAGCTTGTCCATTGGCAATACAGCTCACTAAGGCAGCTGAAGCAAATCAGGCTTCTCATTAGAGGCAGCAGCCTTTGGGGTAGTGTACGAAAAAAATTAAACTTGAGCCGGGCACGGTGACACTCACCTGTAATCACAGCACTTGGGGAGCTGAGGCAGGAACCTCATGAGTTTGAAGTCAGCCTGGTTTACACAGCAAGATGCCGTCTCAAACATCAGTCAGTCAGTCATGGACTCAAGGGAAGAAGAGCTCAGATCTTGTGTGTATTAAAATATTCACAGCGTCTTTATTTTTAAGAAGGTATTACAATGCTTTCGTATAGAAATTTCATATGAAATGCAGAATTGGGCTGGCTTTTGTCCCCTGTTCCTTCCGAGTTATTTGGAATTTCCAGAGCAATAAGATTGTCTTTGTTATTCATGAGTCCTGGATAGAGCCTGGTCGACCAGTAGGACCAACCATGCAGTGGGGGTTGAGATCTCCAGCCAACTTGGCCAGCTGGGAGTGGAAGGCAGCTGAAGGTCAAGTTCAGCCACGTGGCTAGTGATTCCATCAATTGTGCTTATGCGGTGTAACCCGAATAAAAACTCTGGATGCCAAAATTCAGTGAAGCTTTCTGGGGGTGAGCGCGTCGATGCATTAAAAAGGAAGAATGCTGGAGTCCAGGGGAAAAGGCGTGGGGACTCTGCCTATGGGACCCTGAAGGAGATCGTCCTGTATATCTCTTTCTTTGACCAGTCCTGATTCACATCCTTTGTAATAAAGCTGTAAGGGTCGCCCTTTCCTGGACTCTGTGCGTCATTCCAGTGCAATGTCAAGTGCGAGGAAGTCACGGGTCCCTCTGAATTTTCAATAGGGGAAGTCACATGTTGTGGCATCTGAAGTGAGTCTTGTTTGGGGGGTACACCCTGACCTCGTGGGGTCCACACTGACTTCACGAAGTGGTCCACACCAGAACTGCTTTCCAGTAAAGGAGCCTGGAGTTCCCCCTAATGGACTGACTACTAACATTTTTATCTTTAGAGTATCACTCCACTGACCTGGGAATCTCTCTCTCTCTCTCTCTCTCTCTCTCTCTCTCTCTCTCTCTCCCTCTCCCTCTCTCCTGGAAGCTTATTTCATGTGGTTTATGTGGAATCAACAACCCCCTTCTCCTACCGCTACACTAGTGGAAGCTTACCTGCAATCCGGGCTCTCCCAGCACTTCTAGAAAGATGGAGGCTTTAAGCAGGAGAATGTGGACCCTGGGGGCCATCATGCTTACCTCGAAGAGGAACTCTGTCTGAGGGCTGGGTGGAAAGAGGGCCTGGGGATTCTATGACACCTGGATTAAACAATACTTTGGAGGAGATCTCAGTTAAAGGAACGGATACATTCCTTTCTACCTTCTCTGTTATTGTTGGTAAATGTAACGAATTGGGTCTGAAGTTGGCTTAGGACCTCCAAATTTCCCTTCTCACTCACAACCTATGACCACCCACAGTGGCCCCTTAGGGAATCACAGTGGCCACAGGATCTTTCTCTGTAGTGAGAGGAATGAGGGCTAATTCTTCTGTGCTAGAACCCGTGCTGCTCTACAATGTGAGGAAAAGGAAATTCTGGTACCTTTGAGACTCCCTCATTGGAGGTCTTGGGTTTGTTCCCAGCCTTTCATACTCACCTACCACTGGATTAGAAATCTGATGAGAAATCTGAACACCCTGACGTCACCAGACTGTAGGGTTGACATGGGGCAGCATTGATAGGCTGTACCTGACTGTTCCCCCCTTTCAGCCTTCAGCCAATCAAGCCATCCCATAGGAGACTCAAGACAATATGAGCAGCAGAGAAGGAACAGATAACAACTGCGATAGTTACATTCTAGGTACATAAGAGGCAACATTCACTGGCTCATCAAAGCAACCCAAGAAGATAGCAGCACTATTAACCCCATTGTAGAGAGGAAGAAACTGAGGGTCAGAGAGAGAAAGCTACAGGTGCAAGACACACAGGTACCGAGTAAATACATGAGTCAGGTCTTCAATCTCTTAGATTCTAGAGTGCAAATTCCTCACCACTAAGTTCAGCTGCCCCTTGATTATACCGTGAGAGGCCGCTGTTGGCCCCCTTCTGGAAACTGGCCAAATTTACAGAACTCTTGTCTTACACAAGAGTTCTGGCAGGAACCGGCACACTCCAAAGGGAAGAGTTTATGCCTGACCTTGTGGGCAAAGTTCAAAGAAGCGAACTAGCAATGGGGCAGAAACTTCTGCAGAAACAGGGACACAACACCCAGCACTCTCAGACCCGCAAGGTCTTCAGGACCTGAAGCTGTAGTAGCACTGCAGCCGTGGCCTTCTCTAGAGAAAGGCAGCCATTACCAAGGTGCCGCCTGGCCAGGAGGCGGCACCCCAACTTTCATCTCCTCCCTGCCTGCATTCTCCAGCAGGTTAAGGCAGCTCATGCAGGTCAGTTTCTGGGGTGCGGAGCAAGGTGGGGCACGGAGTGAGTCCAGACACCTGTTCAGGTTTCCCAGTTCCCCAAGCTTGGAACAGGTGGAAATTAGACATGTCAAACATCAGATGAAGATCCGTCCGATATATTGTCCCCCTGGGGGTTCTGGGGTAACTAAACCCCAACCCTGACTCCTCTGGCTTCTGTCACCTTTGCAGAGCTCATTTCCAAGGGGAAGTAACACCTGCCCCCCAACGCCACCTGCTGCCGCCACCTCCCTGCATCTCCAGCTGCCAGGGGCTGACCATAAGCCGCAGGAGCACGCTGATTTCTCCAGGGGAAGATGAGCGACCTGATCCCAGAAAGCCCCTGTGCGTGGGATGGAAATTCTCCTGCAGAAAGGCCATGAGAGACACCGGGAGAGGGCTGGGGGGGTGGTGGTGAGACAAAACCTTTCAGCCCCAGCTTGTTCAAGGAAAGGAAAAGATCTGAAGAATGCAGCCCGTGCTGAACACAGTCACCCGTCAGCCAAAGACCTTCTTTCTGGGCTTTACATTTGACTTCATTATATGCTTTGATTTTCTGGGCTAGCAGACTGCTATTAATTAGTTTTTGTTTGGGTTAATCCAGCTTTTCATTCAGGGACTTATTTTGTCCCACTAAGAGTTAAAGTTTGAAAATGTCACTAACAACCTAGATAATTTAGTATGGAAACCCTCAACAGTTAGGGACTTATGACTAATGAATAATATGTTCAGCCAATTTAATTCTAGAAGCAATTCATTAGCATATCAAAAGACTTTAAAATGTGCACCCTCTTTGACCCTAACATTTCCTGTCTAGCAAATGTTTTCTTCCCTAAAGAAATAATTATGGACATGTACAGATACTCATTTTAAAAGGTGCTTACTTGGTTATTGTTTAGGTCTGCAAAACTGGGAGCAGTCTAATATTTAACAAAATAGACTAATAATGAAATAATAACAATTATGATGTCCAATATTTAGTGTTTGCCATGTACCAGAAGCCATTTTAGGAAATCATTTTGTGCACAATAACTCATCTCATTCTCACCAACTTTTTGGAGATTGCAACTTTTTTTTTTTTTCAGCACTGGGGACTGAACCGAGGGCCTTTGCACCAAGCAACTTCTCCATACCACAATCTTCTCTTTTTCCTTTAAATTTTGAGACAGAGTCCCACTAAGTTGTCCAAGCAGAACTCAAACTCGGGGTCCTCCTGCCTCAGCCTCCCAGAGTGCTAGAATTACAGGTGAGTGCCATGACTCCAAGCTGGAATGATTATTTTGCCCACTTTAGAGTTAACTGAGTCACAGAAGGCTTAAGCAACTTGCCCAAAGCTACTCAGCTTGTACCCTGAGCCTGTGATCTTATGCTTAATATTCACCGAACCAAGGACAAGAAAACAAGCAGAGGTGTACAAACCATTTGAAATGTTACAGGTCAAGCTCATCGACAGTTAAATAAGACTTTTTCTATTCCCATGTGGAAAAGCTTGCTTTTGCAAAGAGCTGGAAGGCCAGGTCTGGATGGCAAGCACACAGACTAGGGATTCTGTCCCTGGCTATGGTGACACGGTACAAACCAGCTATACCCAGTGCCACATCCCTGCCCCTTCTCAGGTCCAGTTCTGTCCTGCACTGTGACAGGCCATGTGAACGCCCTCCTCCTGCACAGTGTGCCCTGAACACCCCTCAGCTCTAGGGCTGCACCCAGTGGAGGCCCATAGCAAGGCCAGGACGGGCTCTGGAAGCAGACTTGGGGTGACAGGAGCAGGATATTCAGGTGCTCCAGATATGTGAAGGCTGGGACATCCAAGATCATATTAATGCAGTGTCTGGTAAAGGTCCACTTCCTGTACAGAGTGGGAGCCTTCTTCCTGTGTCTTCACCCCAGAGGTGGTGGAGGTGGTAGGACTCCATAGGTCTCTTTAGAAGGGGACGTAAGTTCTTCAAAAGAATACATCCTCCCCCAGCAGTCCTCTGATCCCAAGAGAAGGGTTAGGGCAGAGGGGTAGAGGGGCAGAGGGTGCTCTGACTTCTCAAGGCAAACCAGTAAAACCTGGTTCTAGGGAGGGTGACATTTGGACCTGGGGTCCTGGCTCCAGAGGTCATCCTCTTAACTATTATGCTAATGTCCCCTCAAAATGACATTGGGTGGGGTATCAGGGATCGAACTCAGAACCTTGCACTTGCTAGGCAGGTGACAGCAACACTGAGCTAAATCCCCAGCCCAAAACCATGCCCCACCATTATGAAGTGCATATAATTATGGAAAGGTGTTCCCAAAAGCTTATAGATGGAAGGAAATAGGATTTCAGATTTAACTCCAGATTTAAATTAATAAGCATGTCATGCTATTTATTGTAGAAAAATGAATGGTCACATACATAGAAAAAAAAAAGAATACACAAAGATACAGTGGACCCTTGACTTACGAACTTGGTTCATTCATGAGGGCTGGTTATCACTCAAATTGGTTAGTTGAAGGCTCAGGCTCCTCTACACAACCTTCAAAGTCTCTCTCCTGTACACAGGTAGACCTCAGAGTCCTTAGAAAGACATTGGCCCAGGATTTCGCAGCCCCACATGGGAAAGGATGTTGTAATGTGCCTTCCAGAACTCTTTAAGGGTGAATCTGAGACTATCTGGAAGTACAAGTGGCTGGCATTCATGTTGTAACTCAAGACTTTGTTCGTAAGTTAAAACTAAAATTCTGGTCGTAACCCAAGTTGTTCATTTGTCAGGCCAGTGGTAACTCTGGTCCACTGTATGTGTATGACACTGTATTAGGGAAATGTAAGGTGACTTCATTTTTAATCTTTTCCTTAGCTATACTTTCTGTATTTTCCAGAATATTGTGAATCACTTAATTATTAGAAAGAACAAGGCACGATAAAAGTTATATTTAAAAAGGACACTTCTTACCCATCAGACTACAAGAGGCCATACTGGAAGCTATTGAGGTGATAGTCTGAATGTTTGTGTCCCTCCTGTGTTGAAATCATAACCCCCAAAGTTAAAGCGTGTTAGGAAGCGAGGCCTTTGGGGTGTGATTAGTCTATGGGAGCAGAGGTCTGGGAATGGGATTCATGCCCTCATAAAAGAAGCCCATGGGAGATCTCTTGCCCCTTCTACCACATGAAGTCATAGAGAAGGTGCCATCTGTGAACAGGAAGTGAGTACCTTGATCTTGGACTTCCCAGCCTCCGAAGATGTGGGAAATAAATGTCTGTTGTTTATGAGCCCTCCAGTCTAAGGCATCTTCATAAAAACAGTCCAAAGAAACTAAAACAAGGAAGCACCAAGCTGAGAGACATCGGAGGAGTGTGGCAAGGTTGATGACCCTGCTCTGCCTTCAAACCATTTCCTCTTCCTGTGCACACAGGAAGTCTGTGTTTCCCAGCTTCCCTTGCCCTAAGGTCAGTGCCAGCACAGGGTAGGCAGAAATGATGTAAGCCTTTCCCACACCTGGCCACTAAAACTATTCCTGTGGCTCTCCTGTTCCCTCTCCCTTATGTGTGCCAGAAGGCAGTGTTGAAATAGTGAAGACCTTTTGAGGTGCATGGTTTCCTGAATGATGGAGCAGAGTGACAAGCTTGCCTGGTTTGCTCTGAGCTAAGGGAGTTCTTGGGCCTCGGATCTTTCAGTGATAAAATCCTTGGGAAAACTGGAACAGATTAGGGACTTAAATGAACAAGACATAAATTTTTATTCTCTTAAGCCTCAGAGATTTTTTTTAGATTAACCTCATGCAGTAGCAGATCTTTGGTTTTCCAACCTATTGCAGGAAGAAAAAAAAAACCAAAAAACCGGAAAAACTCCAGATTTAAAGGCTGGACCTCACAGCCTAATAGCTTTTGCACTGCCTGAACCCTTGTGACCTCCAACAGTTTACCTCTGTGAACAGCAGCTCTCTGATCCATACAGAAAAGAGTCAATAAAACCGACGCCAGTGTCTTTGTAAGAATTAAATTCTGTAAATCTTGTGAAAATTCTTTATATCTATAAATCCCTGTGCAGATGTGAGTTTTTCTAATTTTTTCAACATAAATCAGAATCTAGCTGAAGGATATGGACTCGTGTGTAGCTAATTGAAAATACAGATAACTGATACTAGAAGAGGAAAGTAAATTAATTCCTTGTAGCAAAGAAAAGAGAGAGATGCATTCTGATGGTGTGTTAGGAAAATTCAGAGTTGGAAAGACTTCTTGGAAGAGAGAGCAGTTTGGACATGTTTAAATGGAAGAGAACTGCTGGTGGAACAGGCGAATGTTTCCTGAGTTTCAGTTCTATGTTGGCCATCAACCACACAGATCTGGATTCAATGCTGAATCCAGCACTGATGACTAACGCAGACTTCCTTTCCCAAAAGATGGCTAGATTGCTGGAAAATGGTCAGGTGGCTATATAGACAGGTGGATATATAGACAACCCCCCCCACCCCACTGTGGCTTTGTCCGCCCGGCGTTATTTGAAAAACTTTCCTCTATGTGGAGCATTCCTTACATCATGAGCCCTGACTCCCTAAGATATAAGTTGGAGTTGGTTTTCCAGCTTCCTTTGCAGCTAAGTGTATAGTTTGAACTTCTTGGGTTGAACAGTCCTCCCATGGAAAAACAGGCTGACACAGAATCCATTACAGAGGAAAACTACTCACTGCAGTAGCCGGGTAGCAGAGAGAGAGGCGAGAGGGTGAGTGAATGGGGTGGCGGGGGGAGAATGGGAACAGGGACAAGATGCATCTCTCAAAGGTGCACCCCAGTGACCTATGGATTCTCTACTTCCTCATCGCTCATTCAGCTATGAACTCATCCATGGATTAATCCATTAATCCACTTTATATTTATAGGGTATAATTGCTAAAACAGAAGATCTATGCATGAGTGTTTCTGTCTCTGCCTCTCTCTCTCTCTCTCTCTCTCTCCTCTCCCCATATTACAGGAAATATAGCATACTTCAGAGTTTCCAGAACGTGACGTTCACTCTGTCCAGAATGCAATCCAATACCCCTCCAAAGACAATAAGCAGTTGACCCTGAAGTAAGCCTCAAGCCCCTTCTTTACATCACAGACCCTGAGCATGCTGGGTGCTGGGGTTGCAGTTAGGAACCCCGATTCCATCCCTGATTAACAAATATTCCTTGAGCTCCCTCCCGCGTGAGGTCAGGTGCCCCACCAGACAGAGGTGTGATGTCTATGCACTGGAGCAACATCTTCCCCGTCGTGAGGCTTTTATTTTTGCATTAACAAAGGTAACACATTACACACACTCAGCAATTCATGAATTAATAGTGATTGGGATGCTTGTTATAAAGAAGTTCAGGAGAAGGAATGATCCCACGCCCTGCCCTGCCAGAATCCCCGGGGAGCTCGGAGACTTGTTCCATCTTGTTAGTGCTTGAACGGAGACAATTGTACTGAGCATATTTTGGCCTTTTATTCCTTAGTAGTCATCCAAAGGCCCTGGAGCTTTTACATTTGTGCCTTTCACACATTCCTTTGTATTAAGATTTTTTTTTTCTTAAAGAAGAAAAGCAAAGAGTCTGGAAACATGCACACACACACACACACACACACACACACACACACAGGACCCCACAGCAATCTTCTCTTCTTGCAGTATTACATAACTCCGAGAAGTCCTTCCAGATTGGCCGTAGAACTCCCACACACCTCTTGAAGCTTTGTTCCAATTAAGTCTCTGCCAGCGGCACCGAGGATCTCCCTCGGC